CCTGTCACCAAACAGTACCTATGTACCGGGCAGACGATAGACCTTACTGCCGAGTCGGTAGCGGCCACCGTGACAGGCGTACTGGATGGGAGTTACATCTTACATGGACGGCACCCACGTACTGCGGGATGGTTCCCGAGTACCGTGGTGTCAATACCCCTTACCGTTAAGGGTACCGTGAGGTACCTAAACTGGTCAGAATTCTGTAGTTTTGTCGAGTATTGATTCGAGACTTTATGTGTTGCATGAAAGTAAACATGGGTGTCAACACCCAGTGTTAGGCCGCTGTTTGACTATATTTGTTATGTCGTGGACTCTTTGATAATGTATGAATATTGCATAATGAATTTTTAATGGATGATGAATGAATCACCTAAACGAAAACTAGAGACTGACCTGAATGCATTAGTGGCAAGGTATGCCATAAGTTAATAAGTTAGAGGCATGTGGTACCTGCTGGGTCCAATGGCTGTTCAGGTAAAAACGTAAAAACGTGCAAGGTATGCCATAAGTTACTAAGTTCGAATTGTTTTGAAAAGTAAAGTCATGTTTGAATACCAATATAGTAGCAATTCGGTCCGCTAATCCGAGTATTCGGATTATGCGGGTTGGGGTGTTAAAACTATTCCCTAATACATAGCCATAATCTTATTATTCAAATAGCTTCAATTCCCTTTGTGTTTTAGAAAATTGGTATCAATATCCCCTTTAATCATTTTCCAAAGAAAAGAAGGCATTTATGCATATTTTCTAAACCATAAGTGCAGTGACACTCGTGTTCATTTCTTATTTCCTATATCTTATTTGTTTTTTCCTTTTTAACCTTTTATCTCTTTATTTCCTTTTCCTAGAAAAATTTTTTAAAATTTATTTTCAATTTTTTATAACGTTTTAAATTTTCAAAATTCTTTGTGTTTGAAATAAGTAAAAATAAAAAAAATAACTTATACTCTATCAATCTCAAATTAAATGTTTTCACATTTTATTTTCTAGAATAGTTTTTCTGTAAGTTCAAAAAGAAAATCCATAAATAAAAAACAAAAAATAAAAATATGGAAAAATAAAATAAATTAAAGCGTGCAAAAAAGTATCTTATACATAAAGGAATTTCCTGAACTCTTAAAAAAGTTCTTAAAATTGGGATGTCCAAAATGGATATTCATTTTTATTTTTTGTTTTATAATTTTTTATTTTATTTTTTATTTTATTCTTTATTTTTTGAAGTTCTAAAAAAATTTACTTTTTTATTTCGGAAAACAAAAAACAAAAAATGGTAATTTGAACGTATATACGCTTCTAGTATATGTTAATCATTTTTTCAATAAAAAATAATTTTAAATTATAAGAACATCATAAAAACAATTTTAAAAAGAAATTTAAAAAATCTTGATTAATAAAAGAAACAAATAAATGAAAAAAAGGAAAAACAAAAAATGAACAAAAAATAAAAAATGAGCTAGTGCCACCTATAATTTAAAAAAAAGGTACCCGGCTAGAAAAATGGCCGAAAAATAAGAGACTTTATAAATGCCTATTTTGCAAACTATGAGCCAAGGTGCTATTTTTGCCTAATCTTTCTAATGGCCGGACCTGAGCTGTCATGTATCCTGCGACCTGCAGCATCACCACCTAACCAAGGGGTTCGTTCCAAACCAAAGTAATTCCATTTCTCTATTTGTGCCTCTCATTCTTGCTTGCCCATTGCCCAGGCACACTTCAACAGTTCATTGAAAATTCGATCGCTTTCTCATCTTTCCTACCTGAAAAAACCCTTCATTTTCTCTCTTTTTTGTCTTTGATCCTCCCTCTCTGAAGCGTTATGTAGCCTAAAATGGGATAAATCCGTTGCAAAATTTCCAACAGGATCAGGACAAAATTTTCAGAGTTGCAGAGTGATAATCGATTGTCAAACCAAGATAGTCGATTGTCAAAAGATTCTTTGTCCAAAAATTTAAAAATCTATCCGTTGAAGGACAACGGTCATACTTATAATCGTTTGTTCAATATGTGACAATTGATTATTCCATGCTTCGGAACCTGGAGTCCAAAGCCGCAGGGGCTGATAGTCGATTGTCACAAAAGTGAGAATCGATTATCACCCTGCTAAGACCCACCCGGCGAAAACCAAATTTGAAAAACCGAGGTCCAAAAACGAAGTGTTCCCAAAAGTAAAAAACCAAGTTTGAAAAATATTGTATATGGTATAAAATAGTGAAACCAAGACTTGTTTGGTAAAAACCAAGTCTTCGAGGTCAATTGTCACATGTGTACGGTTTTGACCATTTTTCACGTGTTAGACTGAGAGACCAAGATACAAAAGTGGTTTTTATAAAATAATTATTTGGGAACCTTTAAAATATGCCCAAAGGTAAAAACAAGGTTAAAAATGTTGAAAACTACCGAGTTGGTTTGGACGCCGAAAACCGAGCGCCGAATGCCGGACGCTGAATGCCGGATGCCGAACACTAATGCCGGACGCCGAACACCGACCGAAGTGGTTTTGGTCTGGGCAAGGACCAGGGATTTTAATACATTAAAAACTTTATTAAAAACGTTTATTTTGATGCACAAAAACGTTTTATGATTTTGAAAAATTATTTTGACTTTTTGAGAACCGTGACTTGATTGATTATCGGTTTTGATCACAATAGGACCGACTCAACTAAGTCTTCAATTCTTGATCTTGTCCTTGAGTCTTTTGGTCTTGTTCCATGCCATTCTTCACGCCTTGAGTTATTCAACGAACTTTTCATATCCGCGGTGGTTTGACAATTATCAAAACCTGTTAGAAATGAACACGACTTTAGTTTAACGTAGTATAAAGTGTGTTCCAAGAGAGTCATGTGGTACCTGCTGGGTCCAATTGCTGTTCAGTAAAAACGTGCGCACGTGGATCTATGAACTGTCGTTCCGAATGAGACAAGGATCTCAACCACCCAACGAGGAACTCCCGAGTTGGTTTGAGCTTGACCTTCGTTTTGAATGAGAAGGTCATGACTCCCATAGGCAAGTCGAATTCAGTTAAGCTTTGACCAAATATAGGTTGAGAGCCAAGTATGATAAAGAAAGTAAAGTAATCTAAAAAGGAAAATACCTAATACTTATATCATTTTTTGTATCTAATGAATGGTTATGATATTGATTATGCACGATAGATCTTGTATACTGTTGTGATTGTTGCTCAGCATGTTGCGTGCATGATATCGTATGATGATATGGGCTAGTGGAATTATCTATGGGTATAACCTTATGTTAGATATTTCTCACTTAGCTTCAATGCTGAACGTGTAACATTTGTTTCCTTTGCTGCATGTAGGTAATCCAGAAATGAGGAACTTGGTGCCAATCCTAGAGGGCGATGAGGATGCAGATATGTGCATGGCGGTGTTTGATGATTTCGAACTATTATTCATTATTTGAATTAATCTATTACTTATACGGGCGTGAGTCCCAAGTTGTGTTGGATTATAACCTAAGCTTCCACAACTGTTTTAATTATTACTCCGATTGAATGTTGAATTATGTTTTGAAATATCTATTCGAATTGTTTTGAAAAGTAAAGTCGTGTTTGAATACCAATATAATAGCAACCCGGTCCACTAATCCGATTATTCAGATTATGCGGGTTGGGGTGTTACAACTATTCCCTAATACATAGCCATAATCTTAATAGTCAAATAGCTCTAGTGCCCTCTGTGTTTTAGAAAATTGGTATCAATACCTCCTTTAATCATTTTCCAACGAAAAGAAGGCATTTATGCCTATTTTCTAAACCATAAGTGCAGTGGGGCTCGTGTTCATTTCTTATTTCCTATTTCTTATTTGTTTTTTTTTTTACCTTTTTTAACCTTTTATCTCTTTATTTCCTTTTCCTAGAAAAGTTTTTTTAAATTTCTTTTCAATTTTTTATATTGTTTTAAAAATTTTCAAAATTCTTTGTGCTTGAAATAAAAAGTAAAAATAAAAAAAAATTAACATATACTCTATCAATCTCAAATTAAATGTTTTCACATTTTATTTTCTAGAATAGTTTTTTGGTAAGTTCAAAAAGAAAATCCATAAATAAAAAATATAAATATAAATATGGAAAAATATAAAAAATTAAAGCGTACAAAAAGTATCTTATACAAGAAGGAATTTCCAGAACTCTTAAAAAAATTCTTAAAATTGGGATGTCCAAAAAGGATATTCATTTTTTTTTTTTTTATAACTTTTATTTTATTTCTTATTTTATTCTTTATTTTTTGAAGTTCTCAAAAAAAGTTTATTTTTTTATTTTGGAAAACAAAAAATTAAAATTGGTAATTTGAGATGTACAGATGCTGTTAGTATATGTTAATCATTTTTTTCAATAAAATATAAATTTTAAATTATAAGAACATTATAAAAAAATTTTTATTTTAATAAAAGAAACAAATAAATGAGAAAAGGAAAAACAAAAAAAGAACAAAAAATAAAAATTGAGCCAGTGCCGCCTATAATTTAAAAAATAAGTACCAACATTTTTTCTTGAGGAATGCTAGGGGTACACCATTTGGGGTACCCATTTGTACACCATCAATCTTAACCCTTCATTTCTTTTTTCATTTTTAAATTCTTTTTCCTCTCTTGCTTTTGTGTGGTGGAGATGGAGGGGGTACAAATGGGATACCCAAATGGTGTACCCCTAGCTTTTTTTTTTCTTCGCTAGAGAAATGGCCAAAAAATAAAGAGATATGCTAGGGGTACACCAAAACTGTACCTCAAATGTACACCACTTACCTCTACACCATTCATTTTATTTTCTTTTTATTTTTTACTTTTTTTGAAATTTTCTGCCTTTTTTGTGTGATGATGGAGGGGGTGAGGGATGTTTGGGGTACACTTTTGGTGTACCCAAAAGTGTACCCCTAGCATTTTTCAAAAATAAAAAGCTAACTATGAGCAAGGTGCTATTTTTGCCTAATCTTTCTTATGGCAGCGCTGATGTAATCCTGCGACCTGCACCAGCATCACCTAACCAAGGGTTCGTTCCAAACCAAAGTAATTCCATTTCTCTATTTGTGCGTCTCATTCTTCCTTGCCCATTGCGCACAGTTAGACAGTTCATTGAAAATTCGATCGCTTTCTTATCTTTCTACCTGAAAAAACCCTTCTTTTTCTCTCTTTTTTGTCTTTGATCCTCCCTCTCTGAAGCGTTATGTAGCGATTCAAAACCCTAAGATTCGCATAATCGGAGGATCCCTCGGAGGCTTTGCCGTCGCATTTACGGAGGTTTGTGTCTTTCCTTTCTGGTTTTTTCCCAATTTACCTGCCTCATTGCGAACCCTAATAATCTCCCCCCCTCGAATCACACCATGTATTGTATTCAATCCGATGAATCTGACTCATATAGGCTTTGACACACTAACTAGCTGCTCCCCCAGCTTATGTGCCTGTTTGAGGTTTCAATAGCTGTCTCAGCTTTGTTAAATTGTGATGGCACTTATTAAATTTGTTGATCTTCTTGAGAAATCTACGTAAATGCTATGGTTTTGCTTGAAATTGTCCTGTGTTGGAGTTTTTGTACTTAACAAGGGTTCAATTGCGGGCATTTTCGAGCTCTTGAGTTCAAGAAATGTGAGTGGATGCCCTTATTGGTGGTCTGATTAGCTAGATGTGAGTGGATTTATGCAGACGAGGGAAAAATTATTTGAGCGAAACAATTTTTCCTGAAAAGGAAAAATATAAAGGAAAATGGGAACTTAATTTTGGGATGGAGGGAGTATTACTTCTTTGGTTTTTATGCTTGATCTTAAATTCCGTATGAGATAAAAGGCTGCATTTATTTTGATTATACCAATTTGTTCATCATTAAAAAAAGAAGAATTTTTTTTTAAAAGAATAAATAGTGAAAAATCACATTGCATCTTTTTACATCTTCTGCAATTCTGCCCCTACTTGTACACGTTATGTTATAACTAAAGCCCAGGTCTGATACCTAAAGACACTTCAGTCCTAATTTTTTTAAAAAAACTAATGTGTTTGATTTATGCTTTACCCAACACAATCTCAAGTTTGCTGCAATTTTAAGAACATTAATAGCTAATACATTTTGCTCTATGAAATTAGCATGAGCAGTTTAGTTGCTATATATGGAGTATTGGATACAGTTAGATATCTGTGCTATGAAATTTGTACGGAAAGGCTCAAGTAAGCTGTGTGAGATGTATTCATGGAAATTTAATTCACGTAGGTCAATATATCACGACACGACTTTACCTTTGTTTTGTTTTAGGGAAGCTGGAAGAATCATTGTAACTATATCTCAGCTTCCGATAAATAATGGACAAAATCAGAATTACCCATTAGGCCTCTTACTTTCTATGAATTTTTGGCTAGTAAATGCAGCAAGGCATCTACGGTCATCTAACAGAAATAGCCTCTGTTTTGGTAAGGTTGAGCACAATGTAGTTGAAATTATATTGGTTTTTTTTGCTGTTGTTTAACAGCTGAACTTAGATGAGGTAGAAGAGCTAGGGATTTGTTTGTTTATTCAAGATCTGCATGCTAGTGATACATTGATACATGATGTGCATGTATTCTCAGCATGCCCTTGAGAGTAAATTCTGATGCCAAACCTCTAACAATTCTTCTTAGCACCATAACCTTTAACATTAAGATATTTGTACTTTCAGGGTTAGCGAGCCATTTGTTTGAATATACCCTGAAAATATGGGACAGTTCTCCCTATATCTGGTTTGAATGGTATGGAAAGGCTCAAGTAAGCTGCGAGCGATATTTTTGTGCAAATTCAATCCTTTCACATAGGTTAACATATCATGACACAACTTAACCTTCGTTTTGGTTTACGGAAGCTGAAAGAGTCCTTTTTACGATATCTTAGCTTTCCGTAAAGAATGGACAAAATCAAAATGACACATTAAACCTTTTACTTCCTATGATATTTTGGCCTGTCAATGCAGCAATGCATTAACAGTCTAACAGAAATAGCCTTCTTTTTATAGGGGTAAGGTTGACTGGTTGAGTACATATTGACCCCCCATACAATCAGACCCCAACATAGTTTGGATTATATGTGGTTTGTTTTTGTTGTTATTTGGAAGTAAACTTAGATGAGGTGGAAGAGTTAGGGGTTTTTTGGTTCATTCAAGATCTGAATGCTTTGAAATTGAAGCCTATCTAATGATTCATTGATACATGATATGCGTGTGTTCTCAGCATGTCCCCGAGAGTAAATTCTGATGCCAAACTTTAAAAGTTCATCTTAGCAACAAAAGAATGCCCTTAGAGTTAGAGAATGCATTCACCTGTTGCCAGAGTTCACACCGTTGGTCTTTTTTTTATGTACATAACAGAATTTTTTGCCACATCGCATGAATGCATTGTGAATTGGAGATTGTACGTTCTTATTCTCACTGTCTAAAATTGATGGATATTCTGCAGGAGGTTTATGCTAATAAATTCAACGCTGGTCTGTTGTCATCAAGAAATTCAGATATCAGCTGTCGTTATGCTTTAAAATGCCAGATAGGCAACTTTCAATGCTAGCAATATTCTGTTGTGTTGGTTTGAAGTCAACAATCACAGACAAAGTCCTTTGTATTTAATATCATCTATGCCTGGCAACGGAGTTGGAGATAGGGTCCACAATTTCTTTGCTCAAGACACCTTTTCACTGGGGCAGCATCAGCCAGAGGTATTGGACAAGAACCAACCAGGTCTGAATAATTATCTGTGGGCTGGAAACCAGGGACCTAATTGTGTTCCAAGTTACACAACAAAAGGTTTTAATTTACAACAATCAGGTATTTGTGGTCTTGTAAATTGGATGACATTTCATCTTTTGCATTGTCTCGTAGACTGTTTCATGCACTGAATTAGGTATATATTATTGCCATGTTTCTATTTCTTGGTAGTGAGTATTTACTATTTATGTGCTGAGGAGGTATGTCATGTGGTTTGGATTGCCAATTCTCTAACATTGGTTTATCACTTCTATTTAAGTAGTCGACACGGGTAGAGGATCAAACAGTCACTTGGCGAATGGACCACCTGGCTTGAACTTCACTCGATTTACTTCAAGGCCTGAGATTCAGCTGCAGAGCCAGCAGCAAAGTTTCAATGGATATACATATGGAAATCTTTATGAAACCCGACAGGATGAAGGAAACTTTCTGGCAGCGGATTCTGATAAGCAAAATGTAGCTTCAGCTGGATCTTCTTTTTATGAACAATCACTGCAGGGAGTGGGTCTTCAGCATCAAGCACAGATGGTCAATTCTGGAGCTTCTCTATCTTCTGGTAATTTTGGTCTTTTTGGTGGTCATCAACAAATGAGTCGTCAGCAATTGAACATGCTGCAACCTCTGCAGCTCCAGCAGTCTGGCCTCAAAGACATGCATCAACTACAACAGCAAGTAATGTTCATGAGGATGCAAGAATTTCAAAGGCAACAGAAACTTCAGCAACCAGACGCTAGACAACAAAATCCACAAAACCAGACTTCTCCATTTCACAAAGTTGCACCTAGCAACCACTCTTATCCACTGGTTAACAGCAATATTCATTCCAGAGCACTGGGCTTTTCAGGGGCAGCAGATAATAGTAACACAAACTGGTTACAAGGTAGCTCTTCCGCGTTGCAAGTATCCTCTAATGGTGTTCCATCTAGCAATCATGGTCAAGGACATCATATGATGGGTCTGACTCCTCAACAGATTGACCAATCTCTTTTCGGAGTTCCTGTTTCTTCTTTGAGAACTGGTGGAATCCCCTCCAGCCAGTATTCCCAAGCAGTGACTGATAAACTACAAATGCAGCAGTCTGCTTCCTTCAGTACTTCAATTCCATTTCAACAATATGCTCAATCACCTGATCAAGTTGGTGTTCAAGGTGCAACTACTGTTTCGAGACAGAGATTCTTAAGTGAAAATTCAGTTGGACATGGTCCCAACCAAAGTCTATATAATGCAATTAATATGGAGAACCTTCAGGAAGTGAATGCCATTCAACATAGGGAAGCCATACAAGAGTTCCAAGAAAGAGAGGAAGCTGCTAGTCCTTCAATGAACCCACAAGAGAAAGCATTAAACAAAATTCGTTCCCCACCCAATGAAGTTGGTCTTGATCCTACAGAGGAAAGAATTTTGTTTGGTTCAGATGATAATATATGGGCCGCGTTTGGGAAGAGTGTTAATACGGGTGAAGAGGCCTCCAATTCACTTGATGCTTCAGGATTACTGAATGGGTTCCCTTCTATTCAAGCAGGTACATGGAGTGCTCTAATGCAGTCTGCTGTTGCAGAAGCAGCTAGTACAGATTCAGGACCACAAGAAGAGTTGAGCGGTTTGAACTTTCAGAGCACGGTTGTTCCTTCACGGAATCAAAATGTTTCAATGAATAATAATGGGAGGCAACCGAGTACTTTGATGGATGCCCACATCCCTATTGCATCATCCATGAATCGCGAGGCCGGTCAGCCTTCTGACAGTGATAATATGAAGAGTAGTTCTGTCAACCATCCAGGATTTCAGCAATTTGGACATAAATATATCAATGACATCAGCCAAAAAATGCAAATAAATTCTGTGCATAGACTTGTTCAACCATCTGAGGAAAACAGCAAGTGGCCAGCTGTTGCACCAATTCAAATTTCTGGGGCTGAAGGGAGTCCAATGCAGACGAGCACATCGCATGTTTTTGATAGGGAAGTTGATTCCAAAATGGTTTCCAGTTCATGGATAGATGAGCTTGATAGACCTAGTAAAACGCATGATAAAATAAATGATTGGGATGCTCTTGGGTCCACAGTGCCCACAGAAGATGCTTCTGCCAGGATTCATTCAAGTCAGAACTGCTCAAATTCTTTAGGTAGCAGTCAAAACATAGGCATGCATGGAGACACTGTGCATACTGGTGCTTTCTGGAAAGTTGATCCTGAAACACGTGCAGCTGCAAATTTTGAGCTTACAAGATATTCTCCTGCTAGTGGCCCAGTTAATTCAGAGCTTCTTTGCTCAAAAGGTGCTGAAACTTTTGTGAAGCACAGTTCTTTGAGTGGCACAGAAGAAAGCAGTAGATTTCTATCGAATAACAGTCCGAATCAAGTTAAGCATTGGAAGAATGCTAATACTTCAGCCAAGGGTAAAGAAACTCTAGGTTTTGAGAGATCACATTTTCACAATATCAATGATCATAATTTGAACTCGCTAGAAACCACATCTCAAGAAGATAGAACGCATGAGGCCGATATCTACAGTAAGCCGGAAAACTCCAATGAC